CCTGCTCCAGAACTACCAGAGTATGAACATTAGGGAGACATCGACACATGGAGGCTACAGTCTTCCTTTTAAGGCCCAGGCTTGCCTGACTGGGGATAAACATCACTGGAAACGAGATGTGGCTTCGCCCGGGCCTGTTTACCCCACGCAGGCTGCCCACCCGCCAGGACAGGTTTTTGGTTTGGTTTAGCTCGTATTTCATGTGCCCCTCTGCAGAGACAGCAGAGATATTCTCAATTTCCAAACCCCAGTGACGTAGTCACCTCATCGCTCTGGTGTGGAAGCCACTACTGCACTTCAACGGCCTCCATTTGCGAAGCATTAACATCACCTCCTGCGAGCAGCATCAGCTGAAGAGCTCATGGATCCACGACGCAGAGCACTCCCTGTGCTGCACGTCGTCACTCAACCATTGCCTCACGTTGACAAAGCGGACAAATCACAGATTTCTAAAGCTGTAACAATACAGCTGCTTTTTACTTACTCATCTTTTTGAGAGAGAGGAGAGAAGCTCCAGCAGACTCATGTTCAGTGGAGCCCAATGCGAGGTTCGATGCCACGACCCTGAGGTCATGACCTGAGCTGAAACCAAGAGTCAGACGCTTAGCCGACTGGGCCCCCAGGGGCCCCAAAAAAGGGGGCTGCTTTTTAGATGATCAATAAGAGATTTTCTGTTAGTAAGAAGGAATTTGTTTCCTGCGCCTCTCTTACTGCCTTTCTCACTAGAAGCGGCTGGGCCTCATCTTACCTCAAACCCCATGACCGTTCTGTTCTGTAAGGATATTGCTTGCATTTGTGCAAATTTGCTAGTAGCCCGGACAGTTTTGGAAGGCACAATCTTTCATCTCTGCATTTCCAATCCTGGTCATATAAAAACGTACTGCCCTTAAAAACAAAAATCAGGGATCCCTGGGTGGCGCAGCGGTTTGGCGCCTGCCTTTGGCTCAGGCCGCGATCCTAGAGACCCGGGATCCAATCCCACATCGGGCTCCCGGTGCATGGAGCCTGCTTCTCCCTCTGCCTGTGTCTCTGCCTCTCTCTCTCTCTCTCTCTCTCTCTCTGATGACTATCATAAATTAAAAAAAAAAAAATCAGGTTTTCGGAGGGTAGTGGCAGCAGCAACAGCACTTTTGGGTCCTCCCAAATCTTGACCTGAAACAGAACCACAGGCATCTATAACAGAACTAGGGACAGGCAGCATTGACAGGGGTGGGCAATGCCCTGCTGAGGGGAAAGTCAAATGGTAAAAGATGTTAGCTGGGGTTTCTAAGAGTCGAGTACACACCTGCTGTACGACCCAGCCATTCCACTCAAGAGAAATAAAAGCGCATGTTCACAAAAAGACGAGTACATAAATGTTCGCAGCGCCTTTATTTACAACAGCCCAAATGTCCATGAACAGGAGGACGGGCACACAAACCGCGGTGTCCCCACACAATGGCCACCCCTTAGCAATAAGAAGGAGTGTTACTACCAACAGACACAGCATGGGCGAATGGCAAAATAATTATAGGGAGTGAAACAAGCTCCCGCCACACAGTTAATGTTGTAGCACCCGATTTATATAAAATCTTAGAAAAATACAAATTGGTTTATAGTGACAGAAAGTAGATCAGTGGTCGCCTGGGGCTGGGATCAGGAAGGGACGGATTTCAGAGTGGCGTGAGAAAACCCTGGGGTGACAGGCCATTCTGGCAGGGGCTTCACAGGGGACTCCGTAGCCCACTTTACACAGGTGCCATCTGCCGCCCCCCAAGCACAGTCCCATAAAGACATTAAAAAGCAAAGTGGTGTGGCGACTCCACAAAGCCGACACGCGGATATGAGGGACAGGGCCCGCCCACCAGGGTCTGCTTATCTGTGGGGAAAAGCATGGCTTTTCAGAGGGACCACGAAAGGATGCCCCAAAGGAGCCAACAGGCCTCCACCGCCAAGTGTGGTGGGCCAGCCTGAGGACAGCGGCTGGAGTAGGACACTTGTCCCCCCTGGTGGTGAATGGGTGCAAGGGACCTGCTGCAAGGAGGTCTGAGGGCTGGAGCCAGGTAGCCTAAGATCCACAGCAGCCCTCCCAGCAGGGACCCATGCTGTGGGGACAGAGCCAGCACCAGCAGGACAGGGTCAACGGAGACAGGAAGAAGAAGGACTCGATGCGGGTGGGGCAGGGCCAGAGCCGGGAGAGCTCTGGAAGCTAGCTGCCACACTTTTAACATTAGTCAGAATTCAACAGAAAAGAGAACTGTGTGAAGTGAGAAAAACTACCTGAACTTAATGTTTATAAAAATGAGCAACAGGAAAGTTATCGATCCCACACAGAACTATTCTCAGAAAAAAAGACAAAGGAGCAGAACACCTTACAGACAGCAAGACATGCCAGATGTACCCACCGAATAGACCCAAATGAACTGTTTCGAAACACAAAAAATGAGATCCAAGATGGGAAGACGACAAATCAGCATGAGAAAATACCAGAAATAAGGTGACAGAGCTCAAGCAAACTAGAAAGACAAGAAAATTAATTTCAGAAATGAGAATCAAGAGCAATGACAAAAAATAATGCCTTTAGAGATGGGACATCAACAGGAGGACAACTTTTAAAAAACAAACTTAAGAGATGCAAGAGATTCAAGAAAATGTGGAAAATATAGGGGCTGGGCAAATCAGATTTCAACATAGAGATAACAAAGTCCCCCAAAAACAGAACTCCAAAGCAAGAAACACAGACACTAAGCCGCTGTGCCAGGAACCCCTCCTGAAATAGCGGGATTTGAAAGTACGCACACAGAGCCTCCTGAGCTCCTGCAAACACCAACCCCGGGTGGTCAACACATGACACGGTCTATCAGTCACAGAGTAGCAGGGAAACCACACCTCGGGACATGGAAGCAAAAAGAGGACGTGACTCGTAAGAAAAAGAGACTCATTAGGCTATTCATGATGGAAGAGAACGAAATAAATATTTCAGATACTCAAGGTAGGAAATTGTGAGCCAAGGATTTCATATCCTACAAAACTGATCTCAAGCATAAAGCAAACTAAGTTCAACGGGGGAGTCAGGGTGTGTGGTTCCCAAGGTGACGCTGACCCAACGCGCTTGTGCGAGTAAGTACATAGAAGTGAGACGAGATGAGGTGAGGACAAGTGGGGCAGATTTTATTGTACAATGGTCGACACTGTACATCCAGTGTTCTCACCATCACAGCAGCATAATATATTAGAATCCACAATACTTCATGTTGAAGGGGAAAAAGCAAGTGCATACTTAAGGAGTATCAGTCCCATGAGTCTCAGCAAGGAAGGACACACAGACACAATATAGAAGACTTAAGTACTCTGAAATCCTGAGTTTCTATTGGGAATATCAATATGAGCTCAAATATTGCATCTTTAAATGTGTGTACATGTTAATTGTTTGATAATTCTATTCACTAAAAGGCCTAGAAGCCATGACCAGCCCTCTAGCGATGAGCACCAAGCATCTGAAATACCTTTTCTGGCATTAAAAGAAACTAGACATTCTGGGGCTCCTGGCTGACTCTGAGGAGGAGCAAGCGACTCCTGATCTTGAGGTCATGAGTTCCAGCCCCACGAAGGAAGGAAGAAAGGGAGGAAGGAAGGGAGGGAGGAAGGGAGGGAGGGAGGGAGGGAGGGAGGGAGGGAGGGAGGGAGGAAGGAAGGAAGGAAGGAAGGAAGGAAGGAAGGAAGGAAGGAAGGAAGGAAGGAAGGAAGGAAGGAAGACAAACTAGAGATTCTTTGAGAAACAGCCAATTCCAGATCTGGAGCAGGAAAAGTACAAGATGGGTCTAGAGAACCTTGACACACCAGACTGCAACAGAGCCAGTGATGACTGGGTACACATGTGTGCAAGGTCTGTACACGTACGTGTGTGCACATGTGGACTGTGTGTGAGTGGGCCCACGGTGTGCACCTAGGTACGGGTGTGGTCCGTGTGTGTGTGTGCACGTGTGAATATAAAACAAATCAAGAGCCAACCTGAAGAGCCTCTGTCCTACAGGCCAAAGCTACAATTTGGGTTCAATGAAGATAAAAATTGCAATGACCTGAAACCTATTAAACAGGCTTAAGTACATGATCTCATGATACATACATGTTATAAAAATACATAAATTTATTTGGGTAACCAAATAGCAGATGAGAGAAAGTATCTTCTTCTGAAACTGTTCCAGCCAGTAAGTCTAAGCAAAATCACAGAATACCACTATTCTGGAACCCCCGAGTCATCAATCCTAGGCACTGAGCACCAGCAGCTGCTGACACCATAAAGACGAGAGCAGCCTCTGCCCGCTGATGAAAGCACGTGGCCACCCACCATCCGCTGAGGGTGTGGAAGCGGCTTCGGACCAAGCCTCTGGGTCCAGCTGCCAATCTGCAGAAATACAGAGGCCGGAAGAAAATGCTGGACTCTGCACCCGGGAGAACCCATGTGGCAACATGCAGACCCAGGCAACCAACAGGACAAACGGCCAGGCTCAACAGAGAAACCTCACATGGAGACCAATACACGCAATAAAGAGACTTCAGAAATATCCAGTCTAAGAAAAAGTAGACAAGGCTCAACTGCCATTAAGAAACGCAAAGAAGTCATTCCTATAAAACTCAGGATTCACTCTGGAGGGCGGGCAGGGCTAGGGCTTTCTGAGGTGTCCGCAAAGTTCTATAGTTCTTGGCCTGAGTGGTGGTCATGAGGGTATTCACCTTATAGTAATAACTCAATCAGCAATACATTCGTGTCCTTTTCTGTATGTTTTTGATGAAAAAGTAGTAAAAAAAAAAAAGATAAAAATAAATGATCATATCAAACTTTAACTTGCATAGTGTTTTTTATTTTTTTAAAAAGTAGGCTCCATGCCCAGCGTGGAGCCCAATGCGAGGCTTGAACTCACAACCCTGAGATCAAGACCTGAGTTAAGAGTTGGACGCTTAACTGACTGAGCCACCCACACACCCCATCTTACACCACGCTTTTAACAAAAACAGCCAAAGAAACTTTAAGAGATTTATTTACACATCTTGCTCCGTAAGTAACGGTTCCTAATCAAAGATCAAGAGCCAGGGCTACGTGCAGGCTTGTCTTGTACACGGGTGCCAGCCAGGTAAGCCCCGGGCTGCACTCCCTCTGCTACGGCGGGGGCCCGGGTGTGGGCTGCAGCCACCAGGAGAGCACTGCCTCGCTCTAATCCACAGGAAGGTACAAGTCAACACGAACCTCCTGAGACTCGATGCTGCCAACTGGAAGGTAAATGGACACTTTCAGAACATTTCCAGACCCTGCCTGCGTCTGTAAACCACTGCTGTGTTCATGCCTTATTAGATCAGAGTCCTAAAATTTCTGTCCAGACTGCAGTAAAACTAATGAGAACAGCATCACACTCAATCGAGCATAACACTGAAATCTCAAATAATGCTCAAATCTCGAAGGACGTTCAATTTGTTATACATTTAACCATGTGGTATCACAGGATATCCCAGAATTTACTTTGCAAGTCGTGTCTGCCCATCTACTCCAAGTTTTATTTTTCACAGCAGTAAGGAGAGGTAAGAGGACAGTCACTCACTCAAGTTTTTCCAAGAATTAAAATCCTTTCGTTCAGTCTTCAGATTGCTTAGCTCCTTCTCTTGCTAATCTGTCAGCTTCTTCATTGCCTGTAAATCCCGAATGACCAGGAACATGCATCTGTTAAATAAATTTTTTTCCCTTTTATCTTTACTGATTTTTTTTTTTAAGATTTTTACCTATTTATTCCTGAGAGACACATAGAGAGAAGCAGGGACACAGGCAGAGGGAGAAGCAGGCTCCCTGCAGGGAGCCCAATGCGGGACTCAATCCCAGGACCCTGGGATCATGACACTGAGCCACCCAGGTGCCCCTGTTTACTGATTTTTTACACACACAACACAGGAGTGCATCCTGTTTCCAGTGGGTGGAGAACGGCTCCTCCCACACCCCCACTCCAACACAGTTCTAAACAGCACAAACTATGCCCAATGCATCGATGTGTGTAGGCATTTACTAAAATCCCATCTTGATTCTCCACAAATTGGGTTATACCGTTTTTATTGATTTTTTTTTTCCCCACTTAATGATGGAACTTGGAAAGCTTTCCAGGTAAAACACATGTATGTACTGACAGACAGACACATATCTAACATACTTTATTCTCTTTAAATGCTGTCAGAAAGAAGGGCTATCCTTCTGGGATTTATTTTCATTTTTTTTCTAAGTACGTTCCACACCCAGTGTGAGCCCAACACGGGGTTTGAACTCAAAACTGTGAGATCAAGACTAGAGCTGAGATCAAGAGTCAGACGCTTAACTGTCTGAGCCACCGAGGTGTGTACTTATGTGGTATGACCACTGCTGACGTTTACATTGCTGAAAGGCAGATTTAAACCTCAGGTTACCAAGCTGTTCTCAGTGGTCTGGGGGTGGAAGAGCAAGGCAGGGTTAAGACAATGACTGCAGTTTAACTTGCTCTGTAGTGTTTGAAAAAACATTTTAATAAAAACTATCTATTGTAAGAAAAATACTTCCATTTTGGAAAAAAAAGTCATGCTCAAGTCTTACCATTCTTTTCCAGAATACCTTATAAATTAGTTTTATTTTGACATTACGACTGATTCCAAAGAATCCTACAGGTGGACTGCCAGGAGTCACTTAACAGGGAGGAGGTGAGCCCAGGTGGGGCGCTCCCAAGCACAGCTGAGACTATGTGAAGAATATCGAATACCCCTCAGTCACGCTGCCAGAACACCGTGTTCCACACACAGGCCAAGAACAAGAAGTATTACTTACACAATGATCAAGAGTCAACTGTGTTCCAATTTCTAATACACGCTATGATATTAATTTTGTGGAAACTGTTATTTTAACTTAACTCACTAAATCATTTAAAGAAACCACTACTCTCTCCAGTTAATTTGGAATATTTGGTCCTGGACGTTTGGGGGCTCAGTCAGTTAAATGTCTGACTCCTGATTTTGGCTTGGGTCATGATCTCAGGGTTGTGGGATGGAGCCTCACATCGGGCTCCATACTGGGCGTGGAGCCTGCTTGAGATTCTCTCTCTGCCTCTCTCCTTCCTCCCTCTCCCTCCCAAAACAAAAAACAAAAAAACACACAAAAATAAGTCCTGAGTGGTTAAGAAAACACTTACCCACTGGATGTCCATGCCCTGGGTGAGCTGCTCCAGGGCCACAAAGTCCTCCTTGTTGATCACCTCTTTCCCTGTGCTCGTTTTCCAACCATTCTTCTTCCAACCTTGAACCCAATTAGTGATACCTACAAGAAACACAGTTGATGGAGCTCCAATGTCCTGGTCTCCTTTCCTCCCTAGACATAATACCTGTTCTACTTGTCTTCAGAGCAGCGGGCGGACTTGCCACTTGCCCACACAGGCTGTACTCTGTCTGGGGCATAGACATGGCTACTCCTCTGCTCATCCCTTTGCTCAGACTGGCGCGGAATCACAGGCCCCAGCCTAGGAGGACACCTCCTCCACCTCTTCAACCCCCCTTCCCAAGTCCTAAACATGCTATTTCCCAAAGGAGCCATCAGCACACCACCTTAGGTTACTGATGCCTGTTTAGACTCAAAAGACCATGAGAGCAGGGACACATCTATCCTGTCGATCCCACTGCCCCTCCTTAGGTGCGGGGCAAAGATATGTCTGGGTGGCAAACATTGGGGCAGCAGAACTGGGCCCCAGAATCCCCATCGTCTCTTTATACCTGACAAACCAAACGTCCTCATTTACCACTTAGGTCCCAATAGGATACAACACCTCCTACTGGAGAAGGAAATACCAATTTCCCTTCATGTTTACTAGAAAAACACTAGAAGTAAAAACGTAAAAGCTTACCATTTATAGTAAACATACTGTCCGTATAGAGAACTAACTTCTTAATGTTTTGCGCCTTTGCTTGCTCGATGGCTTTGCAGGCTGCCTTGAAGAAACAAGTCAGTCATCATGCCATTGAAACTGTTCAACTTGCAACATGACTGATGTTCACAATCACTTCACCATTTAAACATTCTTTTTCTGTGCTAAGTGTAACGATTACACTCTGTGTGAAATAATGCTCCACATACAGCTCTGTTTGCATATCCATGTGAATGGGAAATGTGGAAATGTGTCTGACAACTTACATGAATTTCCGCTCGTTGGTTGGTCTGCCGCCCAGGAAGCCTAATGCCTACATTCCTGGTTTCAAAACAATAAAAAAGAAAATGAAGTTAATTTAAAAAGCTAATTTTCAAAGTGGTTCCTTAAGCCTCTCAATGGAAGAAAGGCTTGATATATTTTTTTGACATTTGAAAGCATCATACAAAAACAGTCTGTAAAAATCAAACCAAGAGTATTAACATTTTATGGAAAAGCACCATGAGATGGTTTGTGAAGAACACTGGGCCAGAAATCAAAAGTGAGGTTCTATTTCTGGCCCTGAAATACATTAGAGTGTGTGGACTTGGGTGAGCACTAAGCCAGCCGCAGACACTCAGTGCCACACAAGCTGGCTACCTCTTACAGGAGTTGAAGCTAAAACTAGGTATCAAAGAGAAAGTGCTTCGTAGGCCACAAGTCAAGAGAAATGTAAAATCTTATTATTACTAGACAGTTTACATTACATGATGCCCAACACTGCTGTGGGCTCCTGTGAATGCTGAAGGACAAAGCTCAGAGGGATATGGCTATGTCACGGCTCAGATCCCTCTGTTACACTGAATTTTAGGGCTGCCCAGCATATCTGAAAGACCACACTTTCCATCACCCTGACCTTGTGCCTTGTGAAAACTGAGAGGTCCCCTCTAAGCTCACACATCTTCAGAAGAGTCTGGTGACCTGTCCCTTGGACATCTTTGTCAAAACCATCCCTCAGGAGACAGAGGACTCCTCTAGAGGGGCAGGGATGTCATTCTGGTGTAAGAGAAAGTCTGTGAGACACAGACTCATCAAGATCCAGGGGAAAGAAAACGATGCTGAGGCATTTTACGTTCTGAAGAACAAAGCCATCAGTGTCGACACGAGCCAAAGCTTGTTCTTGTGTTACCTCTGCCAACGCTAAGCAAACAATAAGCAGACCCTGTGTCACTCCTGACAAGGTTTAGAATATGATTCACTTAGATCTGAAGCCTTGTTTACTTACCAAGGATGGCCCGGCCCCCAGTAAACACCAATTCCTGCTCGGGCCCTCCTGCGTCCGTTACTGGAGCAGCAGCCATCAGTGTAGACGACGACAGATTCTCCTGCAAGAGGGAACTTGGTGAGTGTCACTGGGACCAAAGCACTAACAACTGAGACTCATTTAACACATTCACTAAGCCTGAATTCATAAAGTGAAAGTATTATACAATGCAGTCTACATCTTCTGCCTAGGAAAACATGATCAATTCTTCACATACGAGCCCCTGACACTGTGATTAGAACACACTCACACCTAGGTTCCACATGACAGACCAATTAACAGCAAAGGCAGTCACTGTGAACCTAGAACCTGCTACCGTGAGACCTGTCGTCGCATCCCCCACGACGGAGGTCACAACAGTGCCTCTCTCCCTCTCCTCATGGGGGGCAGGGCGCACACTCACTCCCAGGAGCTGTCCATGCAGACAAGTAACACCTGGGCACGATGAAGACCTGTCTGCCAGAAGGTCTAGTCCTCCAACAGATGTCGGTCTAAATTGTTTCTTAGTATATTTGCCTCTAGTGGACTACGGTCCACTGTTTTTGAGACAGAAAGTCCAATCAACATTGCTGTAAAGCAGAAGGCAGAAGAGGACTGGTATGAGGCCACTCTAGGGCCACTGGTGACCAGAATGCTCCCAGCAGGGCAGCAGGACAAGTCAGGTCGACAGGTCTTGAAGAGAAGGACCATGGGAGCAAGTAGGGGCCTTGCTCTATGTGCTATTTGTCAGAAGGATGATAGAGCGGACAAGGCAGAGGCAAAGGGAAGAGGAGGGAAGATAGAGTGTGGGAGAACGAGCGTGTTGGACAAGAATCCCTGGTTCCACTGAATTTGACGCTATCAACACAACTGCCTTTCTGGTCACTGAATTCTGTCTCAACTCTGAGTACCTATCAGGTACTGCGTTAAGTGCCACTGTGTGTACATTGGAAATGGCTCATCGCCCAGTCACCCCACAAGTATGTGCTCTGATGACTGCTGGCAAATAACCAAATCAACATTTTTTTTTTACACAACTGCAAAATTCATTTATGCAGTTTTAATATGGCTTGACAAAACATTTTCTATTGGTTTTCCTTGAGTTAAATGATAAGATAGCTTATTCCTAGAGAAAAACTGGAACCTACAAATATACTGATTTATATAAAAATGCCACTTACTAAAATAAAAAGAAAACCCCACTTACTCCTACTTTTTGTTTACATATATAAAAAAACAAAAAGGAAATTCATATACCATAAGTCACTAACTATAAACTGATCTCCCACAGTTAAAGGTAGAGAAAAATTTATATTACTTTGCCTCTCTAGACAAGGTAAGATCACTTACGTTTTGCAAAGGCTAAATGTAAATGGTAAAGATACCGGTGCTAAAGAAAAACTCTGAAAAAAAATAAATAAAATAAAATGAAGAAGAACTCTGTCCAGGCCCTTTCTTCTTTTTTAAAGATTTACTTATCTAGGGTGCCTGGGTGGCTCAGTTGGTGAAGCATTTGCCTTCAGCACAGGTCAGGATCTCAGGGCCCTGGGATCGAGTCCCGTGTCGGGCTCCCTGCTCCTTGGGGAGTCTGTTTCTCCCTCTGCCTCTGTGTCTCATAAATAAATAAAATCTTTAAAAAAAAAATTTATTTATCTATTTAAGAGATAGACACGCAAGCATGTGCACAGAAGGAGGAGCAGAGGGTAAAGGTGAGGGGAAGCAGGCTCTCTCTGTTGAGGGCTGAGATCTTGGCTTGAACTGAAACCAAGAGCTGGATGCCTGACCAACTGGGCACCTCAGGGTCTTTCTTATTTGAAGAAGCTGAGGCCTTTGCATATTCTCGCAGTGACCTGAAATGCTGTGTGCACAGAGAATACCGGTATTTCAAAAGTTTACGGTTTCTCATTTGTAGGCCATGTAATGCTTTTCCAATGAACGTCCAAAGTTTTAATAATTCCACACAGTTCGATCAACTATCAAATTGTAACCTTTGAGATTTTTAAGATAAGAATGAAATGCTAAACATTAGCTTTTCAGATAAGAATGAAAATGCTGAACATTAGCACAGTTTCCCCTAATAAGGGGGAAAAAATTCTTACACTTATTTCATGATTATTATATAGAAAACTTAAGAATCCAAGAGAGATGTACCCATATAAGAAAACATGTCTTTGCTAACTGGAGGCATGGATTCCGTGTTCTGTCTCATATGCTTCGCACGTGGCTCTGCATTTTCCTCTCCATCCGAGGGCTCACGGAGTCGCTTGCTGGCTTTCACTTGTGATTCTTTTTCATGTTTATTTTCTGGCCCTGAAAGATCAAGTCTACTTAAAAACCAGGAAAAAAATAAACATTACATGAAATGCTTAAGAATCCAGAAATTGAGGAATTGATTAGTGTCACTAAGACTGAGATACCCTCTGTATGCGGCCCTATAAAGAGGAAATGACTTAAGACTGTCAATACTGTCTCAGATTTCGGTGTCCTATGAAATTACTCTAAGTTTTCCATGATAAGCTTGGTAAGAGCAACAAGAAGACAAGAGCAACATTCCTATTACAGTAGAAATCTGCTTCTGACAGATAGCAGAGATACCAAAGCTGGTGAACCCTCCAGGTATGGTGGGCAGTTTGACAATCTGAGGGACTCTTTCCCCATAAAGAAACAAGGACTAGAATTTTGTAGACACCACTCTAGATACTTCATCTCCCTCAATGTCAAGCCGAGAACCTCCAGGGAAGTTGGGAGGGCACAGGTAACTGGACCTTAAGTAAACAGATAGCGGGCCACACTGAGAGAGGGAAACAGAAACCTGACAGCAGAGGGGACCAGGTTCCTTCAGAAGCTCAGCCGGCGGACACAGGATTAACCCCAAAGGCTTCTTTCTCACAGACTCTCTCAGATTATACGGGAGCAGCTTTTCCTATGTTCTCATTTTATGGAGTAGAAAAAGGGCACAGAAGGAGCAACTAATTGTATCTCCAAAATAACCACTAAACCCAACACTACAGATTCACTTTCAGCTCTAAACCAGGGATGGGGAAATGGGGCTCCAATGTTGAGTGAACATTGGGTCCAAGTCAGAACATGCTCCCTGGAGCAGCTTCTCCACCCATAATGTCAGAGGACTGCTAAAGATTTTTTAGCAAAATCTGGGCGAAGCCTCTATAGTGAGCAAAGTTTGCTGTTCCCACCCTGCTATATTTGTGTTACCCTGTATTTACCTTTAAAATATTCCTCTAGGTATTTCACGTAAGTAAACCCAAAAACACAAGTACAGGTCAAAGGCTAATTTTATACAACTTTATTACAATATAAATATTGTTTTATTTGTAGTAAAGTTAAGTTTAAATGAAAGTTTTTAAAGGACAGATAAGACTTTGAAGAAAAAAAGAGGCATGGTTGTCAGATAATTTTGCCTTCACAAAATTAGGTTGAGTAAATAAGTTAAGCCCAAAACAGCTTACATAAATCACAATAAGTGGCAAGTAGCTCAAGAATCCTAAAATAAGAGATGCCTGTGTGGCTCAGCAGTTGAGCATCTCCCTTTGGTTCAGGGCATGAACCTGGAGACCCGGGATCGAGTCCCACATTGGGCTCCCTGCATGGAGCCTGCTTCTCCCTCTGCCTGTGTCTCTGCCTCTCTCTGTGCGTCTCTCATGAATAAATAAATAAAAAATCTTAAAACAAACAAACAAACTTTAAATCCCATGGGATGCCTGGGTGGCTCAGCAGTTGATCATCTGCCTCCGGCTCAGGGTGTGATCATCCCAGTCCTGGGATCGAGTCCCACATCAGGCTCCCTGCCAGGAGCCTGCTTCTCCCTCTGCCTGTGTCTTTACCTTTCTGTGTGTGTCTCTTATGAATAAATAAATAAAATTAAAAATTTTTTAAAAAGTCTTTTATGGAAAAAGAAAAATACATTAAATCCCAACTTACATATATGTCACTAGCTAGGAGATCTCTAACCTTTTAAGAAAGGTGATTCATAGGTATAAAGAACTACTTTGCCTTAGAATTTAGAGTATTAAACACACAGAAACATACTTATCCTGGAAGAATTGAAGTATGGACAAGTCACTAATTGGTTAAAACAAAAGATTAGTGAAAAGAAAGTATTGAGAATCCAACTAAGGTGACAGCCATACTTCCAGACTTGTTTTCTGTCCTAAGCTGATTTCTCCATTGGGGCAGAAAATGTAACAGTCACATCACAGCTTCCTTAAAGCTGGTGCGGAGACCTAGAGGGTGAAGCAGATGCACAGCGAGTAAGGCTCTGGCCTGCTTCAGGAACTCGTCATTCGGGCAGATTCCTAAGCACGATGGCCTCTCCTTGACTTGCGCCGTCCACAACTGTTCTGGCCTCTCAAAGGAGCAGCTGTTTGAAGTTTGAGCATCTCCATGGACTCTAGAGAGTCTGCTCAAAAAAAGCTAATTCAAACCATTGTCTCCTCACCTTAACCCACTAGTAAAAAAATTTGTGAGTAAAGCTAATGAGACACAACTTCTTCAAAGTAGGTTAAGATCTACAGTTTACCCCAAACCACATTGGGGTCTGATCCTTCGTACAGTCGAAAATCTGAGTGTAACCTGTGACTCCCCCGAGACCTTACTACTGCTAGCCTGTTAACTGGAACCATTACTGATAACATAAACAGCTGATTCACAGCTATTTTATAAATGTCTTATGCACTGTGGTCTTACAATAAATAGAGACTAGAAGATGTTAAGAAAATCATAAAGATATAATAATAATAAATGTATGTAAGTGTAATAGAGTGAAGTCTCCATATAAGTCGACCCATACAGCTCCAGTTCATGGTGCTCAAGGGTTAACAGTACTTTAAACATTTTGTGCTTTCAGTGACCCTTAGTCCTTTGTACTTGATGCTCCTCATACTGGGACCCGAGCTTCAATCACGTACACTTTCTGCGACATGTGAAATTGGAGGAAATTCTGATTGTGTGACCCTGTCCCAGTAAGAAGGAAACACCATACAGGTGCAAGCCATGAAACAAATTGGTTGCATCACTTTAAAACTGTAGCCCGGGGGGATCCCTGGGTGGCGCAGCGGTTTGGCGCCTGCCTTTGGCCCGGGGCGCGATCCTGGAGACCCGGGATCGAGTCCCACGTCGGGCTCCCGGTGCATGGAGCCTGCTTCTCCCTCTGCCTGTGTCTCTGCCTCTCTCTCTCTCTCTCTCTGTGACTATCATAAATAAATTAAAAAAATTAAAAAAAAAAAACAAAACTGTAGCCTGGGGGATCCCTGGGTGGCTCAGCGGCTTACCGCCGCCTTCAGCCCGCGGTGTGATCCTGGGGTCCCGGGATCGAGTCCCACATCGGGCTCCCTGCATGGATCCTGCTTCTCCCTCTGCCTGTGTCTCTGCCTCTCTCTCTCTCTCTCTCTGTGTCTGTCTTGAATAAATAAATAAAATCTTTAATAAAAAATAAAAGTGTCGCCCGTTCAATTCAATGACAGGACAAGCATTTAAACACAGAGTTAGGCAGAGTGAGGACTCCAAGTGGACCAGGAGGCTGGAGTCCCAGCCTGTCTCTAACACTGTCACCAACGGAAACCGCTGAGCTAAACCGCTCTCTGCCTGCTGGGAACATGGAAACAACCATCACATCTCCTCTATTTAGGAGGCCGCTCTGCAGACCAGGTGACCCTGGGGCTGTGCAAGGCTTCCAGCAGGTCAAGGCGCCACCGGAGGGGAGCGGGGCCTACCTTCCGAGCCATCTAGGCTGGCAGGCTTCCTGACGAAGGCCCAGGCCTCCTCCTCCGTGGCAAACTTCTTGAATCTGGCAGCGGGGAACCGGTCCACCTGGGCTCTGCATTCGCTCCTGCAACAGAGGGCCGGGTTACTGCCTTCCCCCTTACTGGTCCTTCCTAACCGGTTCTTTTTTTCTTAGGCCGGGAACGGTGTGAAAAGGGCTGGGGGCACCGCCGGCCGCACCTGCTCGCACCTGCCCGCACCTGCTCACAGCTGCGCGCAGCCGTCTTCCACCGGGCGGGGCGGTACACCAGCGCGTCACGGAGGAGAATTTGGGGGGGGGGGAGGGGCGCCTCATCACAGCACAAGGGCGGGGGTGCCGGGCGCGTCGGCCTCGGTGCCGCAGCCGCGCAGGGAGCAGCGCCCGCACACACGCCGCCGTGGCCACCTCCAAGGACGCTGCCCGGCACCCAGGCGTCACAAGGGGCGAGGAGCCCGGGTGTACCAGAGTCGCGCTACGTGTCACCGCTTGGGAATCCCCTCCCCGAAACTGAAAGGGAGGCTCAGGCGGAGGCTCCGGGGCCGCCGCCCCCACGCCAGGCCAGGGCCGCCCGCCTCCGCCCGCCTCCGCCCGCCTCCGCCCGCCGCGGGCTCCGCTCACCAGGTCTGGAAGACCCCCGCCTTGCGGCCCCTCCTCACGGCGTAAAACATGCTGAGACTGCAGCAGCCGCGCGCACTGCAGCTCACGGCGGCCAGAACCACTCTGCGCGCCGCGCCCAGAAGCCTGGTCATCGCTCCCCGCCCGCCATCGCCCAGCGTCTCAGCTCGCCGCCCCGAGCCACCGTCGCGCAGACCCAACTTCCGGCGGCGGCGCGGGGAGATGACGCGGATCCCCGCGGGCTTGGGGGCGGGGCCTAGGGGCCTGGCGCCCCGCGCTTTTGCCGGAAATCCGGGAGAAAAGCGGGCTCGGGCGGTCCCGGGTGGGGCGGGACCTACGCAGGTGGGTGGGCACTAGGGCGGGGCGGGCGGGGTGGGGCCGGGTGAGGGGCGGGCCTGAGTGTTGGAGGCAGGGAGGGGCTGCGTGAGGGGCGGGGGCAGGGCGGCGGTGTGGGCGGGGCGGGGCCATGAGGGGCGGGGCCCATATGGTGGTGTGGGCGGGGCGGCGTCATGAGGGGCGGGGTCTGGGCGGTGGTGTAGGTGGGTGGTGCCTACGAGGGGCGGTACTGTGGGCGGGGCGGGGCCACGGGGGGCGGGGTCTAGGCGGTGATGTGGGCGGGGCACCGCCTAGGGGTGGGGCCCTGGCAGTGGTGTGGGCGGGGCAGTGCCTTGAGGGGCGGAGTCTGGGCTGCGTGGGGGGGCGAGACCTCAAGAGGCCCCTCCTCTCGCCCCTCCTGGGCCTCGCAGCCTTGGGGGGCTGTCCAGGGTCCCCGGTGTGCTCAGGGCCGTCCAGCCTTAGGAAGAGGTGACTTGCCCCCTAACTGCCGTAGGGGCGGGAAGCACTGGCATTCCGCGCCCAGAAAGAGCTGAGGCCGAGGAAGGGCGGCGCCCCCCACGTGGGTGCGTGACCCGCAGGGTGTCCCGTACCTAATGCCCTGGAACCAGACAGAAAATTTAGCTGTAAAGGCAATTCGTCAGAATTCTGCGCGGTATCTGACTTTTTGCTCTGTAAGCAAAGCAACTTCTTTGAAAAGTCCTGTCCACTGAAGCCTTGCTTTTGAGATCAATTGTAAAGGACTTAAGTTTTCTCTAGGTGTTCGGCAGGCGACGCCCGTGGCACCTGCCGCGCGCTGCCCGGCCCGGCTTCGCACAGGTGGGTCAGGCTGCCCACCCGGGAGCCGCCGAGATGCGCCCGGGATCCCGCGGACCGCGGGGCGCAGCCACCTGTTCGAGGAGGGCGGGAGACCCGGGGGAGTGACTGCCTGGGGGCGGGGGCGCCGGCTTGAGGGGCAGAGAGTTCAGTCACGCGTGTTAGGCGGAGAAGGAAGACCAACAGCAAAGGGGAAGGCTGGCCTTGCAGGGGTCGGGGGCGGTCATGCTTGTGAACCCCAAGAACATCCATTTAAAAATTTTCAACTTTCCGGGATCCCTGGGTGGTGCAGCGGTTTGGCGCCTGCCTTTGGCCCAGGGCGCGATCCTGGAGACCCGGGATCGAATCCCACGTCGGGCTCCCGGTGCATGGAGCCTGCTTCTCCCTCTGCCTGTGTCTCTGCGCCCCTCTCTCTCTGTGACTATCATAAATAAATAAATAAAGAATTAAAAAATTTCAACTTTCCTAATTTAAATTGGCTGTAGTCCATTCTTCATTCCTATTTTTATTGCACTTCAAGATAGCTTCTTTTTTAAAAAAAATATTTAATTTTAGAGAGAAAGAGAGCAGAAGCAGGAGGGGCAGGGAGAGAGAGAATCTCAAGCTGACTTTGTGCCCCCGGACTGGGGGCTCAATCCCAAGACTTTGAGATCACGACCTGAGATGATACCAGGAGTTGGATGGACACTTACCAACGGCAACACCCAGGTGCCCCCAAGATAGTTTCTTTAAATAATTGTCCTTGGGGCTCCTGGCTGGCTCAGTCCAAAGAGCATGCGAATCTTGATCTGTGGGTTGTGAGTTTGAGCCACATGTTGGGTATAAAGCTTATTTAAAATAAGCTGAAAAATTTTTAAATTGCACCGAACAATCATGAATGATTGATCGTAAAATCTCTTCTCACGTAGCTGTGAAACCCAGGATGCCCTGGCCACTGCTCTCAGGATGGCTGCAGCCCCCGTTTTTACTGTGATTCATTCTGTCTTCACCCAAGGCCTTTGGAGCACCAGTGGCTCTGAGTGAGCTCAGGCTAGACCTTGGAAAATTCATTTCTAGACTTGCTTTCTGCAGAAGCATCACTAGCTCACCTTTTCCGGGTGACAACAGGTTAGATTATGAACAAAGATGGCACCAGGAGAACTGGTTCCAGATTAGGAAGCTGAGTGGAAGCAGATGAAGGGCTGAGGGCCAAAAGCAAAAGTCTTCACTTTAAAACTCGGAGCTGGGACAGTCAGTCGGATATGAAACGACAGTAGTACGGGTTATAGCCACAGCTGTGCCCGTGGTGGTCCCTAGGGGAGAAGGAGCCGGGGCTCCTGGAGAAGTGCTGCCTGACAGCTACTGCCCCTCCCACTGGCTTGATCCACGAGTCACACCTACTTGGGACTTGCTTTTCCATGCAAACTGGCTGGCCGTGGTCCTTTATCACAAGGCACTCATCACCCCTATAGACTTCTAGGTTAGAGCCAACTGAGTACGTTAAGGAAATCACCCATGTGGCTTTCTCTAATTCCAAAAATATTTCTTCCAGTGTTTAATTAACAGTTGCTCATCTGAAAATCTTTTTTTTCTTTAAGATTTTATTTATTTATTCATGAGAGACAGAGAGAGAGAGAGAGAGAGAGAGAGAGAGAGAAAGGCAGAGACACAGGCAGAGGGAGAAGCAGGCTCCATGCAGGGTCTCCAGGATCAGGCCCTGGATTGAAGGCGGCGCTAAACCACTGAGCCACCCAGGGATCCCTGAAAAGCTTTTCTATTTTAATCTCTGGCTCGAAGTGCCTGTGACTTTCCCTGTCCCGAGCAAAAACTGGCCCATTCTCTCTCTGTAAGGTACTGAGAACTGCCCAGAAGTCAGTGAGACTCTACAGCATTCAAAATGAGGGAACTTTCTTTGACACACACACAATTCTGGATGAATGTCAGTAATATGATACTAAGTGGATAAAGCAAGTCTCCAAGTGGAGATAGGACATCATTCTTATAAATCTAAAAGTAACTAAAATGAAGACACATACTCTGTGAGTTCCTTCTAAAGGAAAAGAAGAGAGGAGTAAACATGGTCTTCCTCTAAGACATCACTGACATTTGCAAAAGGAAAAATCAATGCTACTCTTCTCATTTGAGGGGGAATATAGTTATTTTTAATAAAATATATTACTTATATTAACTTGAAATGAGTTTATTATTTTATTTTATTATTTTACTTTTGGGGGGTTATTTTAATGAATAATTTAAAATGCTCCATTTTGGGATCCCTGGGTGGCGCAGCGGTTTGGCGCCTGCCTTTGGCCCAGGGCGCGATCCTGGAGACCCGGGATCGAATCCCACGTCGGGCTCCCGGTGCATGGAGCCTGCTTCTCCCTCTGCCTGTGTCTCTGCCTCTCTCTCCCTCTCTGTGTGACTATCATAAATAAATAAAAAATTTAAAAAAAAAATGCTCCATTTTATGTTTTGTGTGGTAAATATCAATAGTTGTAACCTACAAAAAAAAAAATCTTAAAGGTCTTCAATAACTTTTTTAAAAGTTCAGAGTCCTGAGGTCAAAATCCTAAGAACTGCTGACCTAGAAAATAATTATAGATCAACACAGGAACACATGAAAAATAATATATTTGAACAATGTCCTTGTAATTCCAATTTACATTCTTCCTGCAAACCGTATTTTTTGAATAAAAGTTTCTACCAGTCTATAACATGCTTCTGTAAAACACATTAGGATTTCCCAAAATGTGCAATTTGGGATAGGTAACTGTGAAGCCACCCCTTGCTTCAGGAGGAACATGTGCTTATTAGCACCCGCAGGGCACCGACGCACGGAATCCCTTTCCCTGGCGTCCCAGGCCCTGTGCTGAGTACGACGTGCACACAGCCAGGACTGACGCCTGTGATGCCGCACTAACGTCGCCCAGTTCACCTCCGAGAAAGTGAGATCCTGAGAGATCGGGTGCCTTGCCCACACCGTGCAGACAGGCAGGGCTGCAGCCGGGACCCAGACCCCAAGCCGGCACCCACCCAGGCAAACCTAAGTCGTGGTTCTCACAGTGCGGTCCTCAGACCAGCCACAAAACCATCCCCTGGGGACTTGGAAGGGGAGTTCCGCTGCACCTCTGCACGGCATGAATTCCGCAGGGGTGAGGGGGTACCCAGCAGTTTGTGTTTTAGCAAGCCCCCAGGGAGGCTCCAAGCACACTCTGGTGTGAGGACACTCCTCCCCACTGTCGCCTCCCACCCCAGTCCTGGGAGGTCAACAGGCCACCTCAGGTTATTTGACAGATGAAGAAACCGGCTTCAGGAGCCTTAGTGACTCGCCCCAGGTCATCTAGTTAGGTGTGGGACTGGCACTCGGTCCCCAACCTTCCTGCTGTTGTCTGCAGCGGTGACTAGCAGCACGGAGGAGTCTGGGGCAGGGGGGTGGGAAGCCGAGACCGTGGCATCTCCGTGACTGTGAAGAGGAAGACATCGGATTGGAACTCACAACACCTCTCTCTGTCATTCCCTATGGTCGCTTGTGTTATGAATTAGACGGTGAAATGGCAGTGAGAGCCACGAGGTGACATGTTTTTTGTTAAAGAGCAGATTTTAGGGGAGCCCGGCCGGCTCAGGCGCAGGAGCCTGCAACTCTTGATCTCAGAGTTGTGAGTTCGAGCCCCATGTTGGGAGCAGAGATGACTGACATAAAAATAAAGAGACTTTTTTTACATTAAATATTTTACGTAATTTGAACAATGTCTTTGAGACGGAAATGTACTCTTTAAATGTTAATGGTTGATTTTAAGAGTGACTGAGTAGGGATCCCTGGGTGGCGCAGCGGTTTGGCGCCTGCCTTTGGCCCAGGGCGCGATCCTGGAGACCCGGGATCGAATCCCACGTCGGGCTCCCGGTGCATGGAGCCTGCTTCTCCCTCTGCCTGTGTCTCTGCCTCTCTCTCTCTCATTCTGTGTGACCATCATAAATTAAAAAAAAAAAAAAAAAAAGAGAGTGACTGAGTAAGGTGATGATGACTAGGACTCGGTTATACCTGAAAATACTCTTATTGTCTGGAGAATGATGCTGCCAGTAAGTCACTGACATGAGCATACTGGGGATGCCCCTGCCCCCCCCCAGTGGCCCCGAACACGGGCATCCCAGCTTCCTGCTGGTCCTGGGGTGTCATCCCAGCCTGGCCCCCTCAGCCTGAAGAGCAATAGAAAATGCCCCTGCGTAGCCCCAGGAACATGATTACCCAGCCAAGGACATCTCAGCTGCAGCCTTCCACAGACAATGGATTTCTGTTATTGACCTAAAGGTGACCTGTCACCAAGAACAATCCCAGCAAAGTGTGATACCTGAGGGGCATCAGGCCTGCGGAGCTCTGGTGCTCCATCAATCAGCTGCCCTGACCTCGGTGGGGGATGGGAGGCCCTTGGCTGGGGGGTGGGGTTCTGGGGTGCTGGCTCCGCACACTGGGTGTGGACTTCGGGGGTGCACGGGATGAGCCCGCTGGAGGACCCAGGGGTACCAGCCCATGTGTGCACCCCCCCCCAGCTCTCCTGCTGTCCCCGCGCCCTGACCCAGGCAGCTCACACGCGCGCTCTAGGTTCCAGCTCTACGACCCATGGCCATGTAAATCTGGTGCGTCGCTCAAGTCTCTGTTCTCTCATTGGAAACTGGAGAAAAGGACGGCGTGTGTGGCGGCTGTGGACACAGCCATGTGCAGCCTCTAATCTGGCCTGACACACAGCGTGTTCCCCATGTCACGTTACTTTTCATCCTGTGCATGTTTCGTGAAGATTCAGGAGACAATGGTGCTGCTTTTGATGAAATATACGGAAGATGAGCAAATTACCCACTTATGTATAATAAAAATCAAGTGAATTCTCTATATCTTAAATATTAATATTTGAGCAGACGCCTTTCATCCACCTGACATGATGGCTCACCCGTGTCTACAGATCAGAGAGTTACACTGGAAGAGTGACTTTGAAACCTTCCAGTAGAAGCCAGTGACCTTGCTTCATTACACGCAGTCGATTTCCACATTCACCGCAGGCTTGCACCTTTGTTTCATCCCCCTGCTCCCTACTGGCCGCTGTGTAATAATCATAAAAACCTGGCAGCTGTAAGTGGAGGGGAGAGACACAACCTTTTGCTAAATCCAATCCATTAATTCTTGATCGGCCAGACAGGTCCATAAATTTGTTTTACGTGCAAGGACTCTGCAGTAATTCTCCTCCTGCCACTTAATCGTTACCACCGGGAGCAGTGGTGTGGAAGGAAGGGCTCTGCAGTCTGGGGTCCCTCTGTGGGATTTCTAGCTTCCTGCCTCGGGCGCGGACATTGTACGTTCCCGGCATAGGGTCCTTTGTAATAGGGGACTTTACACCATATGTATGTGTACAGAGAGAATGAGAACAGATCTAAGCTAACAGCAACCCCACCCCAACGGTACTCTCTCCTGGGCCAGAACTACCCAGGCCGGGTCTCTTGGTCCCTCCAGGATAAAACCGTAGATTCTGTAATTCATTTCCTTCATGCTGGAAGGGAGCTTTCTTAGACTTTTTTTACATTAAATATTTTACGTAATTTGAACAATGTCTTTGAGACGGAAATGTACAAAGTAAGTCATCTCTACATCTGGGATCTTGTAACTCAGTTTGGTCCCTGGACCAGCCTCATGGGTGTCCTTGGGAGCAAGTTAGAACTAGAAAATATTGAGCCGAGCCCAGCCCAGAACTTCTGAATCAGAATCTGCATTTTTACAGTGATCACTAGGTGATTCCTTTGCACATTAAGCTGGAGAAACACTGATTTTTTCCCCCAAAGATCTTTTACTTGGCAGAGAGAGTGCAAGCACAAGCAGGGGGAGTGGCAGGCAGAGGACAGAGGGATAAGCGGATTCCTCGCTGAGCAGGGAGCCCCACGTGGGGATTGATCCCAGGACCCTGAGATCATGGCCTGAGCCAAAGGCACATGCCACCCAGGCACCCCAGAAACACTGATTTTTAAAGAATATAATTTTTTTGTATTTTTTTAAAAGACTTAATTTATTCATGAGAAACACACAGAGAGGCAGAGACACAGGCAGAGGGAGAAGCTGGCTCCTCACAGGGAGCCTGATATAAGACTCGATCTCAGGACCCCGGGGTCACGACCAGAGCCACAGGCAGATGCTGAATCACTGAGCCACCAAGGCGTTCCATAATTTTGTGTTTTAATGACAAATGCATAGTGGAGAATTCAGGACATGACAATTTTTTTCTTTCATTTTTTTAAAAATATTTTATTCATGAGAGACACACAGAAAGAAGCAGAGACACAGGCAGAGGGAGAAGCGGGCTCCACGCAGCAGGGAGCCCGACGTAGGACTTGATCCTGGGTCTCCAGCATCACGCCCTGGGCTGAAGGCAGGTACCAAACCACTGAACCACCCAGGGATCCCGGAGGGAGAGATTGTTATGTAAGAGGTATGTAAGTCGATTCTGTGACTTATGGCATTTTTTATTCTCCTAGAAAGGACTGTAAGGTTTATAGATAAACACAAGGGTTAGTAAATCAATCATATGAATGTAAGAACACCTACTGAAGATCATCATGCTAGTTACTAAGATCAAGGAGGCAAGAGGATCTCCATGAGGTGCCCTCGTGCCAAGATTCTGCTCTCCAATACCATTTTTTCAATAAAAGGAACCAAGGTTTTTTGGAGAAAAGGTGGATCCCATGTCTGAGACAGAACTGTCCAGAATGAGCTTGGAACACCTTGTGCTAGAAATAGAAAGCAAGAGGTTAGATTAACGGAGGTGATGGGGCACAGAAACTCGTCTAAAAGGAGCTGATGGTTTAAAATTTTCTCAAGTTTTGCTGGCCAAAACTGAGTGAGATAGTCTGAACATCAAAGCAGAATACTGGCAGGTTGATTGATAGTAGATCTGAGCAGTCGCGAGTTGTAACAATACACACACAACAGTTGACAAAGAGTAAGTGAATAACAGGCCGCATTACATTCCTGACTCATTCAGGTTCCCAGTTTTAAAAATTCAGCATATTCCATCAGCCTTACGATAATGTGTTGATTTGAAAGTTCTCTGTGAAATCTACTTTAAAAAGTTAGGAACAGAAAAAGGATAGTAAGAGATGATGACGAACAACTCTACTCACATAAATTCAACAATCTAAATGAAATGGAGCAGCTCTTCTGAGAACACAAACTACAAAATCTCATCCGACACGAAACAGATCATTTTAATACCCTTGTAACTGTTAAATTTGTCATGTTAAAAACCCCTAAAAAAGGGAAATCTCAGGCCTGGATGATTTCATGGCCATTTCAACTAGATGCCTGAAGACTTAACGATTCTACACAATGTTTTCAGGGAAACCGAGGATGAGGGAATACCGCCCTATACTTCTCATGATGCTGGTGTGAGGCTGATACCCAAACCAGGCAACAGTAGCACAATACAGAAAACTACAGATCAGTGACCCTCATGAGCACAGATGCGACAAAGTCATCAACAAGATATTAGTAAATGGAACCCTGCAACATTAAAGAGAATGGGATTCCATGACCAAGTGGGGTTTGTCACAGAGATTCAAGGCGGGCTCAGTACTTGAAAATCAATTAATGTAGTTCACCAGATTAACACGTTAAGAGGAAAACCTCACACGGTCCTGTTAATTGATTCATAAACAGCATCCACCATAGTATCAGCCAAGATAACAACTGTCAGGAAAACGGGGATAGAGGGGATCTTCCTCCACCCGATAAGGAACATCCTGCAAAGAAACCTAATGCTACCACCATACTACCGACAGGACGGCGCGTGCCCCGAGATGGGGAGCAGGCAGGCTGTGCTCTCGGACCTTCCTGTTCAACAAGTACCAGAAACCAGCAAGAACGTCCTTCAACACCCCCACCCGCTGCGCTACTTTGGCAGAACGGCCAGGGACGAAGGCCTGGCACGTACAGGAGGGAAACGGAAATGGTTCATCAAGCGCGTTCCGGACAAGCGGCCCAGGTAAGATCAGAGGAGCAGCGATACTTTTCTTTCCTTCTGGAGTAAGTGTCAAGTTGACTCTTAATTTTCCAAGGAGATACTGCCCTTTAATTTTTTTTTTTTTTTTTTAGCATTATTAGCAAAACACATCTACTTTAGAAATCTGAGATGAATACCACTGCACCTTAGCAAAGATGGATGGAAACCTTAGGGATGGCCTAGCGTAATACTGTCAGCACCTCTCCATACTTGGTCTGTCGGGACAGTGACAGTCGAACCTGATAGGTGAGGACACTGAACACCCAGATTAAATCCCGTGGCCGCAGCCAGAGTTTCCGGCACAAGTTGCCCCTGCCTGGAACGCTCCTCTCCCTGGGGCATAGCTCCTACCTCTCTTCCAAAAACTCCCCCGACCTCTAAAGCATGAATCCTCCTGGTCCCCTTGGATATGGGAAGCAAAGGCAAAATAAAACTTAAAATATCCTCCCTAAGCCAAATGTCAAAGTCCCTGAAGCAGGCTGCAGACTGACCTTCCTCGGGGGCTGGGCTGCCCCCATGTGGACACTTGCTAAGGGCAAGAGGCAATGTCAGCCCCAACCCCAGGATCCTTTGGAAACCTCCAGTCTCTACCCCCCAGATGCAGGTGGGCGCTCATCCCCCAACACATGGTCCAACGAGGGGTCTCGTGACTGAGCTGACACTAAACACTAACAGTGACCTCCTCCCAACCAGGTAGCCCCTCAGGGTCCTGGAAAACACCGTGGAGGTCTGTGCTGGCCTGCCCCCCCCCCCCCAAAGTAGAAAGCCAGCCCCTCAGGACCTCAGCACAGCTCCTCTGCCCTGCGGATCTTGCCTGGGTTTCACTAAAACCACCTTTTGGCATCAGAGGCCTCAAGAGTCCTTTCTTGGCCCTGGGCCGCGGACCCCAACACTTCCACGTCACCCTTAGTCACTTTACTTCGGTCTTCCGCATCATTCGTCCTTACACACTTGCACCGTTTACGGAGGTCTTCCTCACCCCAGGTAATCTCCCTGAGGACAGGGACTCTGCCGCCCACAACCACTAGCACCTGGCTCAGCACTAGCAGGGTAGGAGCATCTGCGTTACAGCGAACTGTGTTTCCGCTTCCTCTGGAGGGCAGGGAGTCCACCTCTACATGGGACCTTGACCCCACAGCTTGGGACAGACGTGGGCACTTTTGCAGCACACGGGCCTTGGTCCCCCGTGGTAGTTCTGTGCCATCACCCTCTGTGCCATCACCCACTGTCACTGGTCTGTAGTTTTCTGTAATGTGCTACTGTTGTCATACTGTCACCACACTGTGCTGGCTTTCAGGTCAGGCTCTGCCCCACTGGGAAAACCACCTCGGGGGCCCACCCCTGCCCCAGCCTGTTACCAACCGGCCATGTCCCCCCCCTGACCCCGAGCCCGGTACCCTGTCCGTTAACCCCGGTTGACTACGCCCTCAACCCGTTACCCCCGCCGTCCACCCCTCCCAGCCCGTTAACCCCGCCGTCCACCCCTCCCAGCCCGTTACCCCCGCCGTCCAGCCCTCCCAGCCCGTTACCCCCGCTGACTACCCTCCCCAGCCCGTTACCCCCGCTGACTACCCCCCCCGCCCGTTACCCCCGCCGTCCACCCCTCCCAGCCCGTTACCCCCGCCGTCCACCCCTCCCAGCCCGTTACCCCCGCTGACTACCCCCCCCGCCCGTTACCCCCGCCGTCCACCCCTCCCAGCCCGTTACCCCCGCCGTCCAGCCCTCCCAGCCCGTTACCCCGCCGTCCACCCCTCCCAGCCCGTTACCCCCGCCGTCCACCCCTCCCAGCCCGTTACCCCCGCCGTCCAGCCCTCCCAGCCCGTTACGCCCGCCGTCCAGCCCTCCCAGCCCGTTACCCCCGCCGTCCACCCCTCCCAGCCCGTTACCCCCGCCGTCCACCCCTCCCAGCCCGTTACGCCCGCCGTCCAGCCCTCCCAGCCCGTTACCCCCGCCGTCCACCCCTCCCAGCCCGTTATCCCCGCCGTCCACCCCCTCACCCGTTACCCCGGCTGCCCAGCCCCCGCCCACCTCGGGAACCCCGAGCCCCCCACCCCCCGGGACGCCCCCCATCCGCCCGCCCCCGCCCGCGGACCCGACCCGAGGGCTAAGTGTTTACGGCCCGGAAAGCACGTCTAGTCGTAAAGCACTTGGCTGCCGCGGCGCTACCGCACGTCGTGCCGCCGGGGCCTCTGGGCACACCTGGAATCCGAGCCCGCTCCTTTCCCCCGGCCTCCGCGGGGAAGCGAGACGCCTCGGGTTCGGAAAGTGTTTTTCCAAGTCCTCGCCTCGGGGCGGAGCTGCTTTCCGCGGGCCCCGGCCGCCCGGCTCCGGCCCGGAACTTCCGCAGCTGCCCCAGGCAACGCTCGCCAACCTCCGGGAGCCGGAAACGCGGAGGGCGGAGGAGCCTCTTCCGGGGGCTCTCTAGGCTCCCGCGCTCCTCGGTGGTTCTTCCTGCTCCCGCCTCTTCCGCTTCGCCGCCGGGATTTGAGGAGCTCTCGCGAGACCCGGGCCTCTTTCTAAGCCGGCGCTCTCACCAAGGTATGTCGGCGGCCGGGCCTCCGCCGGACTTTTCCGCCCACTTTGAGGAGAGCGAGTTTCGGAGTCGGCCGAGCGTCCGCGGGCGCTGCTCGCCGGGCGGGGATGCGGCCGATTCCCCGGGCGGTGCCCCCCGATGGCTTCGGGGCGGGGGGAGCGGGGCCGGCGGGGGCCGCACCCGCGGCGGCCGCTCAGCTGGGGCGCCCTGTGCTCGCAGGACGAGGCCATGTTCAGTTCGAGCGCCAAGATCGTGAAGCCCAACGGCGAGAAGCCGGACGAGTTCGAGTCCGGCATCTCCCAGGTGAGGGGGCGCGGGGGGCCGGCGGGGTGTCCCCCCCCCACCCCGACCCCGGGCCCCGGCGGGGGGAGGTCGGAGCCGCCCGAGCGCGGGGAGCCCCCGAGTGTCCGCGGCCGCGCACGTGGGCGGGTCGTGCCCCCCCGCCCCCCCCGCGTCCGCTGAGCCCCCCCCCGCCCCCCCCCGCAGGCTCTCCTGGAGCTGGAGATGAACTCCGACCTCAAAGCCCAGCTGAGGGAGCTGAACATCACGGCGGCCAAGGTGAGGCCCGCTTGCTTCCCGGGGGCTCCAGCGGCCCTGCTGGGGCTGCACGTGTCCGAGCCGCGGGGGCGGGGGGCGCGGGCGGGGGGGGGCGGGGCGGCCGTCAGCGTGCGGTCGGCGTCTTCCCCTCCAGGAGATTGAAGTTGGCGGCGGCCGCAAAGCCATCATCATCTTCGTTCCCGTCCCTCAACTGAAGTCCTTCCAGAAGATCCAAGTGCGGCTCGTGCGGGAGTTGGAGAAGAAGTTCAGCGGGAAGCACGTGGTGTTCATTGCTCAGGTGTCGGGGCTTCTCCTCGCGGCGATGCGGGGAACAGCTCAGGGCGGCCGAGGGCGCGCCTCGACGGCGACGTGAGGGCCTCCCCGTGAGGGGCTCCCTGTGGCAGCCGCGGCGGTGGCGGAGGTGGCGGAGGGAGGAGCGGACGCGCACCGACGCGCGACGCGGGCTGCTTTGCTCTGGGTTGCTGGACTTCCACGATTTCCGAATGGTTTCTCTTGCCTTTTTTGTTGTCTTTTTTTTTTTTTTTTTTTTAAAGCAGCTTGACAGTTTCCCGCCCACTTAAAGTTTTTCTTTCTCCAGCGTCATTTCTCTCTTACAGAGGAGAATTCTGCCCAAGCCAACTCGAAAAAGCCGTACAAAAAATAAGCAAAAGCGTCCGAGGAGGTGAGTGCCTCGGCGCCCTCCCCGCGGACCCGCTGATCTCCGCGGGAGTGCTGCCCCGTGGGGAGCCTACTTAGAAAAAACGCGCGTACTGTGGCCTGTTTGTTAAGCGCCGTTGATTCACGTGGTTTTGTGATTGTGGCGGGTTTCCGAAATTAAACACGGATTGTTTAGGGAAACCTTGTGGCACTTTTTACTGAGCAGCTGGTTCTTCTGTGATTACCGCCAGCTTCTGAAGTTAGTTCTGGAGGCAAGAGCTCCGCGTGTTCACACAGTGGTACAGGCCTGGGTCCCTGCTGTCGCAGAAGATGAGACTGTGCCTCCGGTTCTGGGGGCGCGGCGGGGAGCAGTGGGGGCATTGTTGGGGTGGCGCAGGGGTGCTGGGAGGCGTCTGTATTTCGCGTTTTACTGTGAATTAAGGCTAAGAAATGAGGTGGATTTCTCTGGTGCTGACAGGACAGGTGACACGTTGCTGCAGTCGTGGATGCTGGTGGACGTGTGCTCTGAGCTGGTTGGGCTTTCAGGGTGTCCAGCGTGAACTCCGTGCGCCTCGTTGGCTCCTTGCTCTGGGCCGAGGTGTGGGGTTGCTGGGCTCCCGCAGGCCCTGCCCCAGGGACCAGTCTGGGAAGAACAGTGTAGTGTCTGACTGCCAGGAGGGCAGCCCGCTCATGGAGTCTGCCCTTTATTCCTGAAGGGGTGAGGAGAGAGACGCGAGGCTTGGAGAATGCGATTGCAGCCAGTGCTGGCGATGCTGGGGCTTGTCATCCCCCGGGAGGTCGTGCCGGGTCACTAGCGGGCCGATGTCGCTGTGGAGAGGAGTGGAGGGGAGGCTGCAAGGGCAGTGCAGGGTTCTGGAGCTTGAGGCGTACGGCTCCGTGCACTGAACCTTTTCATGGGCAGTTAGAGCAGTAAGAATTGAGGGATTGTTTGGGTGGTGTGCAGTTTGTGAGACACGAAATACAGGAGGTCACCAAGGGCATCTAGTCTGTTGGAGCCTGAGTGTGTACTTGAGCATGAAGGACGGCCCGCCATCCGCAGCCCTAGTTGTCCCTCCTCCCACGCGTGTTCTCCACGTTTTCTCAGGTGATGACTTCGCTGTGTCCCTGGCGACCTAATGTCCACATCCGAGGCCCTCTGTTGACTGCCAGGGTCTGGGCGGCAGGCGTGGTGATGCCGCCGCTTCCCACTGCCTTCAGACTTCCTTTTCTTCCATAGGACTTGGCTTTCTACACAGATGAAACCCCGAGGGTGACTTTTCTTGGTGTCTAGTCTGTAGCAGGGTTTCCGTTCCTTTTCTCTGAGGCATAGCTGCATTCCCATCGCTCCCTCTTGTAAACGGCGATGTTGGCATCTGAGAGAACGCGCCACAGCTGGCTTTGATGCCGTTCTGATTTGTTGTAAAGGACAGATACACAGTTGACAAATTTTCCATTCATGTGCCTTCCTAGTGCTGGAGGAGGAGGCTGGATTACTGGGTAGCAGTGATCCGTTGGGCCACCTGTGTCGTTTGCTTTCTGGAAGGTGACGAAGGCCTTGGGAATGGGAAGTGGATTCCCTTAAGCTTGCTCTGCGGCCCCAGAGCAGGCGTCGGGAGCCCTGCCACGTGTGCTTTGTGTGGGAACTTCGATGAGTGGAGCTTAGTATCCCGTTTACTGAGGCTAAGGCAGCCTGGGCGCACTCCTGCTGCAGGGAGCTCCGTAACACTGGGAACAACTACCTCTGCTCCCTCTCCTTGGCCTCCCGGTGTACACGGCAGATCCCCGAGAGGCCTGGAGTTCATCGAACCATGTTGCTGTCAGGCAGCCAGTTAGGTTGTGAACTCGAAGTGCTACCAGGAGGAGTGAGGTCACGGCCTCAAGCTGTGTGATGGGGTGAAGATGGGGGCCCAGGAGGGGCTGTCCTCCCGGAGCTGGTGATAGAGCAGTGCTCCATCCCGTCCTAGAGAATGAGGAGCACGCGTGCAGGTATTTTGGGAGCTGTGGAGCGCGCTCAAAGGAGCTTTTCCTAGTAAAAGTTGTGGGATCGCATAGGTTTTTAGATTAATTTGACAACATTGGAGAGGGATGGTTTTGGAGATGAGCGAGGAGTAGAGCGGCTGCTGCAGCGGTTTAGTCAAGAAGTCGAGTGAAGGTAAACCTGAGACCTCGATCCCCCGTTCCCTGGAGATGATCACCTGGAATGGCCTGGGGTGTGTATGGCTCCTAAGGTCTTGAAGTACCTCAGTAGGGTGTTGGCCACCCTGTCTAGTTTGGCAGTGGCTCCGATGCCGTCTCTTGAAAGCTGGTGTGATTTTGGTCTCAAACCTGTGGTTTGCTGTTTACCCTTTTGATTTTAAAGGGGCTCTCAGGAGGGCGGGCCTTCCTAGATTTCTTACCGCGTCACCACATTCTTTCAGCCGCACTTTGACAGCGGTGCACGACGCGATCCTGGAGGACTTGGTTTTCCCAAGTGAAATTGTGGGCAAGAGAATCCGCGTGAAACTGGACGGCAGCCGGCTCATAAAGGTTCATTTGGACAAAGCACAGCAGAACAACGTGGAGCACAAGGTGAGGGCGCAGCTGCCCTGCGGGAGGGTCCACATGCAGAGCACCAGCCCTCGGGGTGCCACCGCACCCCCTTCCCTTTGGAGGGGAGGTCGAGTTTTGCAGTGTGGGGTGTTTGGAGAATCGGAATTCTCTGCCTTTGGAGTTATTTGGAAAGTTGGAAGTAAAGTAATTCCTTTTAGTAAGGCTGCATATTCTCCAGGGTGAGATGTCGGTAGTGGTGGAACCTGGGGGGACTGTCCCTTCCCTTCATTCCTGGTAAAGCGTGGCTGATGGGGGCACCTCTGGGCTCCCTCTCTCGTCCGTGTAGCTCAGAGGTGTAGGCCCTCCACTGCTCAGTGTTGCTGGGGAGCTCACCTGCAGGCCCGTCTCTTCCTCAGTACCTGGCCACTGAGGGAAGAACCACGCGGGGCGTAAGCTCACGGAATCATTAGGCTTTAAGATGAATGTGTGTATTTAAAAGTTTTCTGATGAATTCTTTTCTTTCCTCGTAGGTTGAAACCTTTTCTGGGGTCTATAAGAAGCTGACGGGCAAGGATGTTAACTTTGAGTTCCCAGAGTTCCAGTTGTAAACGAAAATGATTAAATAAAACTTTCACAGTATTCTGTTTAGTGTGTTTTTCAAAATTTCAGAGATGTGGTTGTACAGCCGTCCATGTCAGTAGCCCCCGCGTGGGCAGGAAGATTGTGAACAGAGAGGGTGCAGTTTAATGCGCGGGAGGGATAGACTTGTATCCAGGGATGTTGTAATAGGTATAATCCTAGGAAATTGCCCCAAGCGGCCAAGTATGGGCACTTTGACAGTTCGACCTAAAGGACATGGCACCAGAGCTGTGAACAAGAGGGTGACAGCCTACATCCTAGTGCCAGCGTGGGTGCTCCACCCGAATGCTGGTCTCCGGGAAGCCTGCCTGAAAGTCCAGCTGGAGAGAAGCACCTGGAATCCGGCCAGGAACAGTTCTTGAAAACTACCTGATAGAAAGTTTTTTCCAAGAGCAAAATGTGATGAAGTAGTGTTCTCACTGAATGTTTTTGTGAAAGACGCACATGCAGAATTTACCATTTTATCCTTTGTAAGTGTATAGTTAAGAAGCCGTGAGTGTGCTTAGGTCGCCGGGAGATGGACCCACAGC